GTTAAAGTGTTGTTGTTCTAGGGAGGGGGGGGGGGGGGGAACAATACACAGGAATAAGCAGTAATATTTACCATTTACAGCTGACTAGAGTTCAGCTTAAATGCAGTCTATGTTCCCCTAGAGCAGAATTCCTCTCGCTTGCTGTTTGACACCCATCACCTGGACAAGAAGTGACAGTAAATCTCCCTAATGGGGACACTCAGCAATAACATTCTAGCAAAGAATGTGCCTTCATTGCTGTGTCCCCATTGAGGAAATTTCCCCTCACTTCCCGTTTTGTCTGACACCGAACTTTCTGGGAGGTGTTCAGTGCGAGGCAGATAATTACTCTATTCAGACGTAGTTCTTGAATTCTGGGACATTACATATACTGTGCTAAGTGTGTTTTGTATTAATTCCTAATAGAAACTTGCTCCCATCCACATTGTATTATCTCCTTCTTTACAATATACAGTATGCAGCAATCATACCAATTTATAAACTTAGTCAATTTAATTTTTCTAGAATTCTGTGCAAGGTAAAAGCAGCTTAAATGGCACATATGGGAGAAGCCACAGGGATGTTTCTAATTCAGATCTGGCCCATTAACCAAGATTCCCTCCTGTTTGGTTTACAAGTAGTTCAGCTAGTTAACATGTGGTATAAATACCCGGTAAAGTCTCCTAAATAAGTGCTCCGTGTCTACATTACTTAGATGGTCAGCATGGTACAAGCAACAGATGTAGGTCTGAACCGTGTAAACTGTAAAGCTGTGTGAAGCATGGTGCTTGGCTTGTGTTTGCTTACATGTTATATTTGTCACAATGGAGGAAACGTTGTGTAGCGTTATGTCTTGTTTCTGCTTCAAAAAATCAAGTGCTTCTATGTGTTTCTACCCGGATATCTGTACAGTAATAATGGTCTGTATTTGTATTTGTGAAAGCTTTATATATTTGTGTTTTTTTTTGCTATAAGTAATGCAAACAGTTCTATTATGTGTTTTCATGTTTGTCATTTATTAATTTACTGTGACATTTTTGGTGAAACAATGATTTCCAAAGCAAAATTACAGCAAACATTTGTGACAACTGACATTTATAAGGCAACTCAAATATACAAAGTTCTGCTTTATTATTGTAGACTTCCTTGAGATTGCAGATGAATTTGATCCTGCATCTTAGAATAATGTTACTAGCCTTTAACTACTGGCTCCTGATGAACTTGAATTACTATTATTTGCTGTATTGGAATTGTATATTTATGGTGGTTGCCTTTAAATGTTTTTCAGTGACTGACAGCAGGAATGTCTCTAGCAGGCAATAATATTGCTGAAGAACGATACGCAGATTATTGCATGGCCTGGGACAGTTCAGCTCACTACATTGAAGTAGTGTTATTTATTTGTTCAGGTTTATCACCTTGTGCAAGCTTTTCACACTGTGTAGTCTAAAGTTGTCACCTCCCCACAATGTCATAATGTCAGCTTATTATGACTGCAACTATGACAGCCAGGAATGGACTGAAGCATTATGAGCTCCATTACTGTAAAATCTACAGTAAGTGAAGAATTTGCAAATATATTCATGCAAACACTAATACTAAATATTTATAGCAATGCGGGATAGTTATAACACAAAACAGACTGGCTGCCCAACTAAGGCAACATTCTTGAGGGTGACAGGAGAAGTAAAAGAGGTCAGTAGCAACCATGGTGCAAACTTCTGGGCTGCTGCAGCACTACCTACATGTCGGTACACTTATCAAATGGGAACCTGGCAGGTCAGAACTGCCTGAATATAGTTGTGTACTCTGATTGCAGATAAGACTGCTGTGACAGCCATTGGTGTATTTTGCTTTGGGGCTGCCCTAGGCAAGATGAAGCTCGC